AAATTGGCAAAGAGAATTTGAAAGGTATGCAGCAAATAAATAAATAAAAACTGAAGATGTATCCCAGATTTCTGGTCCTATTCAGAGAGATAGGGGATTCAGAAGGAAGATGGTGCACTTGCTGATAAGAACAATGAAACACTCTGAAGATATAAACTTTCAGTTATAAAATCACTGGGGATAAAAAATAGGGATATAATTTACAACATGTTGACTATAGTTACTGTACTGAATATTTGAAAGTTGCTGAGAGTAGATCTTAAAAGTTAGAACTGAGCACAAACATAGCAGAAGTAAGGAAATAATAAAGATTAGAGCAGAAATAAATGAAACAGAGAACAGAGAAGCAATAGAAAATATTCACTAAACTAAGAATTGGTCCTTTGCAAACATAAACAAAATTGACAAACCCTAGCTAGACTAACCAAGGAAAAAAGAGAAAGGACTGAAGTCAACAAAATTATAAATAAAAGGAGAAATGATAAGTGATTCCACAGAAATTCAAAAGCGTCATATGAGGCTCCTATGAACAGCTATGTACCAACAAACCAGAGAACCTAGAAGAAATGGAAAAATTCTTAGAAACATACAACTTGCCAAGATTGAATCAGGAAGAAATAGAAAATCTGAATAGGTCAATTACTAGTAAGGAGAACTGAATCAGTAATCAAAAAATCTCCTAACAAAGAAAAGCCCAGGACCATATGGTCAAACTGGTGAATTTTACCAAATATTTAGAGAAAATTAACACCAGTCCTTCTCAAACTGTTTGAAATAATCAAAGAGGAGGAAACACCCCCCAAACTCATTTTACATGGCCAACATTATCCTGATACCAAAACCAGAAAAGGACACTACTATAAAAGAAAACTACAGGACAATATTCCTGATAGATATAGATGCAAAAATTCTCAATAAAATACTAGCAAACCAAATTCAGCAGTACATCATAAGGATCATTCACCATGATCAAGTGGGATTTATCCCTGGGATGCAAAGGATGGTTCAACAAATACAAATCAATAAATGTGATACACCACATTGATGGAATGAAAGAAAAGAATAATATGATTATCTCAGTAGATGCAGAAAAAGTGTTTGACAAAATTCAACTTCCTTTTATGATAAAAACTCAATAAGGTATCAAAGGAACATAGCTCAACATATAATAATAAAGTCCATATATGACAAACCCACAACTAACATCATACTTAAAGGTAAAAGGTTGCAAGATTTTCTTCTAAAATCAGGAACAAGACAAGTATGCCCACTCTCACTACTATTCAACATATTGGGTTGTCGAAAAAGTCATGACGCATGTTTGCAACAGATGGCATTAGTTCATTTTTGGAAGTATAGTCATTCACAGCTATGTTATTGCTATGTCACTGGACAGCTGACGGTTCTAGCTTCATTCTAAAAATAAAAGTTGAGCAATTTGGTTGAGTTTTGGAGATTTTACAACAAGTTGAAGATGGAAGACCAAACTGCATATTTGTCATATTTTACTGTTT